TTTTTTTAGTTTGAAAAATCACTGACTAAATATATTTTTATTTTAATTAAAATAAATTTTATCAAAAAAAAATTTAAATGTAATTTTTTTTTTGTAAATGTAAGTACTTTTTGTTATATTTGTTTAATTTTATAGATATAAATCATTTTTTGTTCAAAAAATGTTTAGGGATTTAATCGTTCAAAATATGGATGTTCATTGGGTTTTTTTTTGGGACTTTTTTCACTATTTTATCATATTAACTAGTTGTACAAGTCATAAGAATGTATCCAACAAATTTTAGAAAAGTCTAAGGAGTTATCTAACATGTTTTGGATTGTCCAATGACTTATTTGTTCCAAAAAATTGTCCAATGAGTTATTTAACATGTTTTAAATTGTCCAATAACTTATTTGTTCCAAAAAATTGTCCAATGAGTTATTTAACATGTTTTAAATTTTTCAATGAGTTATTTAACATGTTTTGGAATGTCCAATGACTTATTTGTTCCAAAAAATTGTCCAAGGAGTTATTTAACATGTTTTGGAATGTCCAATGACTTATTTGTTCCAAAAAATTGTCCAATGACTTAATCATTCCAAACACTAAAGTCCATTGGGTTTTTTTAAACTTTTCCCTAAAATTAATATACAATCTTTTGTTTATTTACTTTGAATTCAAATAATATTTATTTGTGTTCATTTAGACCGTTCGTTTATGTTTGTTCATTTACGTTCGTTTAGCATGTTAACGAACGAACATAAACGAACACGAACACACCTGATTTCTAAGCGAACGAAGACGAACACAAAGATTTCCGTTCGTTTACCATTCGTGTTCGTTCTTTTGTTCAGTTAAGTTAAACGAACGAATATGAACAAGCATCCGTTCATGTTCGTTCGGTTTGTTTATAGCCCTACGCATCCGTGGTGGAGTTTTGGAATGTTGACTTCTCTATTTGTTAGTTATATCATCATTGTCGTAGCTATCTGATGGATTATAACGTAAGTCGCGTCCTTTGTTACGAGAACGTCTTGCCACCTAAAAAAAGGCATATTATAAAGTTATAGTATTAGCTTGGAAAGTTGGTAAATCTTTGACAATAGTCACGGAAATCGAAATCCGGGTTTTTTTCTTTCTTTCCACCATTTTAATATATCAAGGTGTTCAAACTTATCAGTGGTCATATAACTCACAAAATTAGACACCATATAAACACATAATCCATTACAGTCGAAACTGCCTCTCAACCGTTTGCTAGATTATTAGTTAAACGTATTATTACAAAATGTCCATTAGTTTTCTTTGTGGTTGTTATCTTCATGGCCTCATCGAATTAGTCGAACTAAGCACAAAGATAACCCGAACAACTGTGATTATCCAAAAAAAAAAACCTCATGAGCATTTTTTATAGAACTTAAAGGTTAAATCTTTTTGTCTTGGACCTATTATGTTGGCAATATCGATTATTAACATTTCTATTCTGCCAGCGTATATGGCAGGTTCAAGATTATATGGTACCTGTAAATATTAGTGACAACTTTTTGAAATGGTTTATTTGTTTTAACTTCGTATATTTATCTATACCAATCCCATTTATATTGTCTTCGTGTTTCTTTTAATTCCATTGTCATTATTTATAAATATATTTCATATCAGTAAAGACTATCATATTTTTGAACGATTTGGTGAAGTTGGTCGGAAATTTGTTAAAATTAATTGGCCTTGTTGAAAAAACTAAGGGACCGTTTGGCAGTTGTTGAATGATTTGGTGCAGAATGATTAAGGGGTCAGAATGATTAAGAAACTCTTATAATATAGTACAAAATTAAATATAAGTGTTTGGTAATTATTCAGAATGAAATTTGGGTGTTGAATGGTTAAGGGAGACCCGAGATACAAAATCATTTAGAGGGTTTTAGAACCATTAAGAGGCAAACTTTTTTCTGCCAAATAAGATTCACCTCTTAGCGATTTAGATGTTGTCTCTTGATGAAACTATTAAGAGGTAAACAAACAACCCATAAGTGGTGATCAAGTGTTTCTAGAAATACTTAGAAAGGTCTCCTAGAACTCAAGAAGAACAACGCTTCATATGATTTCGAGGCTTTTAAAAGAATCAAATATTATTCGACACAACTTGTAACACGATAATCAAAACTTACGTTTTAAAAAAATATAATTTGTTTTCATGGTGCCACACAAGTAATACAACACCATAATTCAAGATTTGAGAATACTCATAATTCTACGTCAATACCTCATACATCTTCTATAGCTTTATAAAACTATTTCTTATTTAATACGTCAAATGGTCATATATTTTTAATTAAAAACTCATGTGTTCTTGAATTTGGGAGAAAAGAAATCAAAGGAAAAAAGAAAAGAATATTTATATTTGTGTTTTCGAAAGGGAAGAGAAAAAAAATCTGTGTTCTTGAACAAGAAAAAAAAAGGAATGAAAGATGTCATTTTTACCAATATACCTTTCAAAAATATATCCATTATTAGGAATTTTTGAAATTTTTTGAAGGGTTCTACTTTTTTCTTTTCCTTTCCGACCTGTTCCTCCCATATTTTTAAGGAAAGTTTTGGGAGGAAACTTATCATTACTTTCCTTTGATTTCTCTCAACACAAGTTGTTTTCCCCTCAACTTTCCCTCCGTAAAAAGAGGTAACACGGCGTTAAGTTCATATCATTAAATGGCCAATATTTTGCCAATCGACCTTTTTCACTACTTCTCTCTTCAATCTATCATCTTCCCATCAATGGCGATAATCAGAACCACCCCAACTCGAGATCTGAAAAATACTAAAATCTCATGGTACCAGATCAAATGTTTTTTATCATATAAAAGATCACCAGATGATTCACACGAGGAAAGAAAGCAAACGAATGAATCAAAACATGGTCATTCAGGGATATGACCTTAAATGAGTTTTCAATTAAATCCATGACCTTTTAGCCTATTAAGACGAAATGAATTTAATTATAATCTCATTTTAAGGATATACCTAAAAATCCCAATTAAAAAACAGCAAGTTCATGGTACTCCTATAAGATTAGGCAGACTTAAGGGCCGTTTACTAAACACTTACCCGGTAAGTATTTACCGGTAAATTTAACATTATAATTTACTTAAGATTTTAGTTCACCAAAACGACATCGTATGCAACAATTTATCCGGTAAGCACTTACTATGGTAAAAGTCGTCGCCCATAACTTACCGGGTAAGATTCAAGGTCCTTGTCTCGCTCTTACCGGGTAAGATTCTTCGTCCTTACCATATTCATAGGTGAGGTAACATGACTTGGTAATCGCTTACCCAGGTAAGTGTTTGGTCAACGGCCCCTTATACCATTTGAATTCTAAAATCAGAGGAATAACAGCAGACTTGTACCATTTGGAGAAGATGGTACTCCTATAAAATTAGGCAGACTAAAGTTAACAGGTTCAGCCTCGCAATTTAAAACAAGGGACTTTACATATGCCCATAGTTAATTCATTGTAATAGACAACTACATTATTATACCTCTCCCTAAGGTTGCAGCAAACTCTAATCACACCGCCCGATCTATCAACCGAAACTCCTAAAATGGTGCATCGTTTTGTGTGGTACAAACATTCCAATCAAAACTCGAAAGCTACCAGAAATGTGGGGAAATGGAGGGATATATATCCTAACCATTTGCACAGCAGATGCATATCTTCAACAACCTGCAATAGAATGCAAAGAAAAGATTAATAGAAATGAGCATTTTTTAGTGCTTAATGGATTGAAGAATCTTGTTTTAGCAGCAACAAGGCAAAATGCATCAGAATGTAACGTAGTTTGCTTTACTTCCTATTTAGTGTGATAAATAATTTTTTTTTTCTCAATCGATGTAACTAGATTCCAAAATTTCCTATTTAATGTAACAAAGTTTCAAAATTTTCTGTTTTTTACTCGTTTTGATTGGTAAACTGCTGATTTTGTAACATCCTATGACGTGAATATCAAGTTTATTGCTCTACTTTGCCGTAAACCTTTCATAAACAGGTACCCACGTCATCAAATGTTACAAGATCAGCCGATTACCGACTAATCTGGGTACAATATAAGATTTGAAATCTCGTCACATCGAATTGAGAAAAAAAGAATCTTGGCTACACTAAATAAGAACTAAAACAAACTTTGTTGCATTTTACCCTGGAGGGCCAGTTTGAGTGGCAAATAAATGGTAGACCTTGGGGATCTTCCCCAAAGGTCGTCAGTTCGAGTCTCCTAAAGCCCAACGGGGATTTTCCTGGCTGTTATATTCAACGTCTCATGTTATTAGTCAAGGTGCGCAAGCTAATTGCCTGAAATCCCTCTCATTTTGTCAATAAGGGAGAAAATTATGATTTCCAAGTATCAAAATGCATAGAATAACTGTCCTCATTACTATGTTTAACTAAAAAAGTATCATCAGAGATGAAATTCCGCACACCCACGGTTACCCAAAAAGGAAAAGAACAGGAAGTAGGAAAAAGGTACTCACAAGTTTTGGGAGAAGCGAGTTCAAGTTGTTATGCAAATTCAGCTGGTACTTGATTCCTTTGGTGCTTCCGCCAACACCTGTTTATCCGAATTCCCCGTATCTCCAGTCTGTGAATGTGCCTGAGACTGTGTCTGTGACTGAGCCTGAGACTCGGTCTGCGACTGAGCCTGAGACTCTGTTTGTGACTGAACCTGAGACGGAGCCTGAGACTGTGTAAGTGACTGAGTTTGTGACTGAGCTTGAGACTGAGTCTGTGACTGAGCTTGAGACTGAGTCTGTGACTGAGAGACTATTATTTGTCCTTGATTTGCAGGTTGAGAGTCAGGTGCGATTCCAAGAACCACCAGTATGGACCTGAAAAATAGAAAGCTGTTTTCAGTGCATAAGGGACACAGAAGTGACTGAAACAACATCAAGCATGGTTACTTAGACAACCTTGGAAGTGAAGATCGTAAGTCTGGTTGGCTCGCGTACACTACCAATGGACCCTTAAGTACGGGCTGTTTATTAAGCGCAATTTCGAGCTGTGCAGGAGGAAGCTAAACAACCAAATTCATAACACCATGAGACAAATGACCATATATAAGTTATCATAGACAGGGAACGTAGAGAGGACATATATATATATATATATATATATATATATAGAGGAGTGATCATATGAAAACCGCCCTCATTTGTGTAAACCGTACAAACCGCCTTCATCTGTCGATTTCATTGTTTAATCTTGTGAAATTGTTTCATATAATACTTTTTTTGATGAAGTTGTTTCATATATGGTTGTGAAATTGTTTCATATAATACTTAATGAAACTRTTTCATGTATTTCTCTAAAATTAAAATAATGAAGATGATAATATCTATGATTAACACCCTCCACAATAAAAATGATTAATCAACCTCTCATAATTACAAAAAAATGGACAAAATGAAAAATTATGATTGGTTGAATGCGGTTTGCATGGTTTGTACAAATTGAGTGGTTTGCATTTGATCGCTCCCCTATATAGATATATATATATATATATAGAGAGAGAGAGAGAGAGAGAGAGAGAGAAAGAACCTCAAAAATGAAAAACTGAGGAACACCATGGTAACCATTCATCTAGACAGTATGCACATGTGCATGCAAGTAATTGAAGTTGTTTTTTGTTTTTATGCACATGTGCATACCGGACAAATTGCTTACAATTTACTTATGTGCATACCATACAAATGAATAGTTACTAAAGTGTTACACAGTTTTTCAATTTTTTGCGGTTTTCTCCTGAACCTGACCCTATATATATATATAGGGTTGGATACCGGTGAGAATGGAAGTTATAGTGAGAAGAGTATGAAGGGATCTCCGCCCTTAGATCAATCCTAACTGAAGATCAACAGTATTGAGATGCACCAAGATGCATAGGATCAATTCCAGTGAGAAGCACAATTCATTGGGTGTGGGTGAGATTAAGAGTCATCAAGGGTCCAGATCCCTTCTTATCGTTCTCACCTTAACTCATATTCTCACACGATCCTTTGTTTATCTATATATATATATATATATATATATATATATATGAGAATGTAATATGCAAGTGATACCGAAGAAGTTGAGCAATTCAAGTATCTAGATCAAGCATAAAATTGGTAGCCATGAGGCACATCCCATCAAAATTTCTAGAATTATTAGTAGGGCAAACCTGAAGTAGCACACTGAAAGATTGAGGTTTCGTTAGCTGAACACATTTCAAGAATCCTACCCAGAGCTTTTGGTTTTTCCAAATCTGAAAGACAATATCGGATCTCCATCATATAAGTTCTAATTGTGAGTAAAATGTGTGTGCCATAAAATAACCACATTTCTCACCTGCTTGCTCACAAGACGAGATAATATTTCCATAATAAAATCCACCTGCATTATATTGACACCATCAAAAAAAGACTATCAAAGAAGCAAAAGAAAAAAAAAACAGGTAATAACATTACCCAAGCACCCTAAAGGGAAAAATGATTCTCCATATGGACAGATGGGTAACATAATCTTTTAGCAAAATGTACAGACCATGTTTTCCAACGTAATTTACAAAAAAAGCTGTATATAAATAACTCTGAAAATTATTGGCTAGATACAACATATTTACAAGTTATAAATAGTTTTGACCTCGATCAAATAGTTTTCATCATGGATTTTCTTATAGTTTAATCAATATATTCCCACGGCACACTGAGCATGCAACCCTAAATGATCAAGCAAAGGGAAATGTATAGAAAAAATAGATTTTTGCTCTAAAGGGTTATCTAGCAAAGGGCGAGGAGCATTAGTGTGTTACATAATAGTTCTTTCACAGCCAAATACATTTTATAACAATCAAAAACACTTACATATGGCAAAATGTAACTTTCTATCATCTTACCAGGGAAGGAAATGTGGCAATTGTCTGTATTACTGTCCGCATGAACAGCATTGGAAGAGGAATCTGCTCAACCTGAATAGATAATGTTACTCAGAATTAGACATTTCAGTAAGTTATCTGCTACCAGCCAAGATAGGAACCTTCAGCCCAACATAAGAGGTCTCTACCAATTTGGCAAGTCAAAGTATAAACATTGTGCAAAAAAGTAATGAAGATCATTTGCTTATGATTTTCATATCTATTTCTATACTAGCAAATAGAAAGTATTTTCATCTTATAATTGTGGAAGATGATCCAGTACTTAACTGGGGAAGGAAAAAAATGAGCCATTACACTCCATGAAACTTCCAAAATTCTGAATTTTCAAAAATATTCTTCATGTGAAGTGGGTGGTGCTTATTAAAAGCATAGTACAGATTGAAGGTTGAAATTACCAGTTGGTTTAAAACCTTCGCTAGAACTTGTTGGGTAAATATTTGTCGTTGCCGAAAGCAAGCATTGCATGCATCTGTAACCTGTGTAACAAAATATAAAAACATATTCTTTAGTTGCATTATGAGGAAGGGAAAAAAGGTAAAAAAACAAAAAAGAGAGAATACAAACCTTCTTCAGCGGAATTCCATCTTTTTCAGGATCAATGCCGTGGATACCAATCAGTACTTCAGCTGGTGTAAGAACTGGACTACCTTGAGATGATTCCTGTATAATAATGTTTTCCAAAACCTATATCAGTAGGTATATATTTAAAAAAATATGTATGATCACCACATAGGTATAGGTAAAACTTTTTGATAGATGTTCTCAAAATTCCTAGCAGATGTCATCCTATTTATATTCGCCATGATGGGAAAGGCACCCCATGAATAAACTTTTCAGAACAGATTATAAAGATATCACACTAAGACACGATACCAATTAGCAAAAATAAGCAAACAATGAAAGTAACAAAGTTAATCTGAGGGTCAAACTTACCTGCAATGCACGGAGAAGTGCAGCCTGGAATTTTTCCAGTGGAAGATTTACGAAACGGGGAAATATCCGAAGAAGCTGGGAAAACAAATACCAACAAATGTTAACAAATATGACTACAACATTCACTGTAAATAAAATATAAAAAAAAACATCACAAGACTAAGACACTACTTGGAGAAAACCCTTATGGCATATCATGGGTGGAGCGTACCACACACAAGTTAAGAGAAAGCTACATTCAGCAATATATGATGAATACCATAATATATATTCACATTCCAATAAGATTTTGTGAGAAAAAGGAGCATGCATGGACTGTTATGTAATAGATAACATCTTCTGTTACAAGTTACATTATAGCAAAACTGGATGCAAAGAAAAAGAGTATAACAATCAAGCAATTCAAACTCCTTGCATAAAAGAACAGTAATAAGCATGAAGAGAAGAGAACCTCATCTTTTGGTAGAAACGGTAATATTGGAATAAGAATCTCTGCATCCTGTCATGTGACAGAAAGTAAACAGATCAGTGTGAAGGTAGAATTCTATCTAGAATGCAAGTATATATATATATATATATATATATATATATATATATATTATATGAATAGGGTCAGGTTGAGGGGAAAACCGCAAAAAAATTAAAAGCTGAGGAACACCCTGCTAACCATTCATTTAGACGGTATGCACATGTGCATGCAAGTAATTTGCAAACAATTTGTCCGGCAGCCGGCACACGTGCATAGAAACCAGTAAATACTTCAATTACTTGTATGCATATGTGCATATTGCACAGATGAATGGTTAACAAGATGTTCCTCAGTTTTTCATTTTTTTGGGGATTTTTCCCTGAACCTCTCTCTCTCTCTCTCTCTGTATATATATATATATATATATACATGGATATACCTTTAACTTTGAATCATATAACTTTCTAATGGTTGCTATCAAGTCAGCAGAAGGAACTGCCCCATCTGTTAATGTTTGCACAACCTGTTGAAAAGAGAAGAACATGGAAAAAAACATTCTCCATCTCTTATAAAAATAATAAAAATATATAGAAGCACAAAGAACCTGCATCAGAAGGTTCTCGCCTCCAGCAGGCGGATCTGAAATAATTTCAAGAAGCTGAGATGATGAGCCAATGGTGCGAACTAGTTTGGGGATTTGAACGAAAATTGCCTGCACAAAAAGAAAATGGGGATACCAAACTTAAGCAGGTTTTAATTAAATAGAATCAAAAAATCGGTACAGTACAAACTACTCAACCTGCTTTGCTGCTTTAGACATGTTGTTGTAGACGATTAACAATTGACGGAAAAGAGAATGCTTCTGTAAACATCAAATAATTTACGAGGCCTTAGAAATCAGATTGTGCAGAGAATTACATGCTGATAAGTTCTAAATGTGCAGGGAGTTACCTTTGTACAAAGAGCAAAATAAAGTGACATGCATCGTTGTGCATCGGTTATTGAAGGCGATGGAATGCTTTCAGAGGTACACGGTTGACCAGCCTCAGAGACACTGGCTAACGATGGACATTCAGTTGAAGTTTTTTCCATCTCAGTGTCCTACATAATATGAAATCGGAAATGAAATATCAAATTCCATACAAGTGCCAAGGTTTCAAATATTTATCGTAAGAAATCCACCCTCTAATCATGTAGTAACACAGCTTTTAATCTGAAATTCAGCATAAAGAGAGAGTGAAGGCAAATATACATGAAATTACATTACAAGTGTAATGATGTAACAGAGATTAAAATAAGGTGGCATTTGGTTGGATGGAATGGTTTTGAGGGATTTGCATTTCATGGAAGGATTTGGAATTGGAGGGATTGGGATTGGGATTGGGATTGGGATTGGGATTTGAAAGGATTTGGAATCTTTGGTGTTTTTGGTTTGTAGGATTTGTAATGGAATTGAATTCCATATTTATAAAATAATTTATAAAAATAGAAAAATAAATAAATTACCTCTTTATTAATTGATTATTATAAAAAAATGTTTTCAACATTTTAAAACATTATTACACACAAATTCTACGAAAACCCACGAGATACCAACAACCCCCATGGGATTTCCAAATCCTATGTTTGTGGGATTTCAAATCCAAGCAATCTTTCAAACCAAACATGGGATTGAATTCCAAATGATCTGAAGTTTTCTTAGAAAATGATCTGATATGTAAGGTAAACACTATGCAAATTCTCTGATTGTTGCCTAATCTCACCTGTAGTCTAGAACTTTCATTTCATATGTTAAATATTTCATTACATTAAAGCCATACCTTTGCTAATTCAGCGTTAGATCCATCAATACGGGCCTTATCCATCGAATGATCATCATTCATTGCAGATAATAGCATTTCCTTTGCAAAATCTTCAATTTGCTGAGAAATGGACGATACAGGATAAAGCTTGTTTGCCACCTGAAGATTGGATGCTAAATCAAAATCTGAAAGAAGGGAAAAAGAAGAAGACAAAGCCTTGAACTTGTTCAGATAATAATTACACATTCTGATATATACCAGACGTATGGCTTTCATTCGCACTTCCTCCAAATGGTGCACTGCACTCTATTCAAAAAGACCAGTATGGTTAGAAGTCAAATTCAAAATTGTAGATTTGTAGTATAGCATAGAAAGATATAAAAATGCAACAGTACCATCTATCTGGCTTCTGAAAATATGGACTTAATATTCATCAATCAGAAATAAACTTACATCATATCCATCGAACAAGCACTAGGATTTTGCATAGAAGTAAAAAAATTGAACCGCATGCGAAATAAAAAAAGAAGGAAACTAGAAAAAAGAAGGAAACTAGAAAAAGCATAGTATAGGAAGGATATCAATAGGTATGTCTATATAAATATCCCCATTTCTTTTATCCCTACAGCGTTCTTCATCAGCAAATCTTCTAATAGTTTTATCATACATTTTTTACAATTCCGGCCTACTTATTTTCTTTTAAAGACTATCCCCTCGAAACAACTTCCAAAATACTTCTTTCTCGCCTCATGCGTGTGTATGAATTTAGCAATTCTGTGTGTATCCTCACCAAAGAATCAATCATCTCATGCCGGAGTTAGGGGATGGTTTGTTTGGTTTTTGCTATAAACTGATGTCAAAAGCTTGTAATTGAATTGATACAAAAAGGAATTCACTCCAATGGCATTCGAGAGGCCATGGTCTCTCCAGAGCAAAGCTCGTAATACAACTGAATTGGAAAACAGAACACCCCAAAACAGGAAACTCCCCGCCAACAAAAAGGCTGCCACACCCTAAACAAAAGGAAAACCCGAAAATACCCCTAAGGCCTTATTCAGAACAGAAAATAAGGAACCACACTAATTTCCCCTCCTATATGTGAACCGTACCGGAGGTACACCAATACTTCCCCCCCCCCCCCCTTTTAAAAGATTTCACCTTGTCCTCAAGGTGATTATTAGGAAGTTGTTGTAACAAAGCTTGTAAATGCTCCCAAGAAGACTCAAACCCAAACATTCCTTTCCATTTCACCAAAACTTCCAACTATCCCGGTTTACCTTGAGTAATTGGGTGAATATCTAATAGATCCTCTGGCGGCTCTGCTTGTAGAATCAAGTCTTCCGTAATCTGGATAGGAATTTATGTTGTAGAAGCATAATTGCCAAAAGTTTGCTCTAATTGCGACACATGAAATACTGGATGTATCTTCACTCCCACGGGTAGCTCCAGTTTGTTTGTAGGCTACTTTTCCAATCTGCTCCAAAAATCTTATAGGGACCATAAAATCTGGCTAACAACTTTGAATAATTACCTTTCACTAAGGATTTCAGCCAGTAAGGATGAAATTTTAAGAACAGCCAATCTCCCCGGGCGAAAAGACAACATCTTTTTTTTTAAGTCGGCCTGGTGTTTCATCTTACATTGAGCCTTCAACATATGCATCCTGACCTTATCCCAAATTTCATCTCTGCTCATTAATTCTTGTTCTACGGACTGCAAATTTGAGGAAGCAGGTTTATAATGTATCAAAGAAGGGTCTCTCCCATAAAGTACACGGAAAGGAGAACATTTAAGTGAGGTATGAAATGAAGTATTATAAGACAACTCAGCCCAAGACAACCATTTACTCCACTGCCTCGGTCTGTCTGAAACCCAACATCTCAGATTTCTAAGCATTTGTTCACAACTTCCGTCTGCCCATCCGTTTGCGGGTGGTACGCAGTACTAAACCTGAGTTTAGAACCTTGTAGTTTGAATATCTCTTTCCAAAATGCACTTTGGAAAATCTTACCTCTATCCAAAACTATGGATTGGGGCAGTCCGTGTAGCCGTATTATTTCCTTTGCAAATACTTCAGCAACCGATTGAGCATTATATGGATGTTTCAATCCAATAAAGTGTGCATACTTACTAAAACGGTCTACAAATGGTACTCATGCCATCAGACCGAGGTAAGCCTTCAATAAAATCTATCGACATTTCTCTCAAACTGTAGAGGGCAGAGATAGAGGTTGTAACAGACCCGCTGGAGTGCCACTTAAAGTCTTATTGCTTTGACAAATTTCACAACTTTTCACCAAGTCGTTTATGTCTTTCCTCATGCCAACCCAGAAAATCTCAGCAGCTATACGCTTATAAAAACGATCCGCGGCGGAGATCCATGAAACTCCTCAAACAGTAAAGGAATAAACTTGGATGTCCTGGGTATTACCAATCTGCCCTTATACAGCAGTAAACCTTGTTGTAGTTCAAATCCTTTATGGGTCGTAATGTCTTGCAATAAATCAGTCTTTAACTTCATAAGAAATTCATCTTCCTCAATTTCACGTTTCAAATCATCCCATTGTCTCCACTGTGGTTCCCCCAAACTTGAACATTCCAAATCATCTTTTTTTCGGGATAGAGCATCCGCCGCCCGATTAACACATCCTGGTTTGTAAACAATCGAAAAGTCGTAACCCAACAACTTACTCATCCATCTTTGATACTCCGGTTCAACCACCCTTTGTTCCAACAGGAATCGAAGACGACGCTGATCACTACGGACCGTAAAATGTCTTCCCAAAAGATACAGCCTCCATTTATGTACAACAAAAACTACAGCCATCAGTTCTTTTTCATACACAGATTTCTATTTTGCTCTCAATCCCAACAATTGACTGAAATAGGCTATGGGTTGCTCGTTCTGCATTAAAACAGTTCCCAACCCGTAACCTGAAGCGTCCGTCTCGATGACAAATTCCGCCGAGAAATCAGGAAGTTTCAAAACAGGTGTTGTTGATAGCAACTCCTTCAATTCATCAAAGGCTGGTTGGGTTGCTTCTGTCCAAAGGAACTAATTCTTCTTGAGTAAATCTGTGAGGGGAGCAGCCACCATTCCATACCCTTTAATGGACTTCCAGTAATAACCAGACAGTCCCAGAAACCCTCGTAACTCAGTAACTGTAGTCAAGACTTTCCATTCTACAATAGCCTTTATCTTAGACTTGTCCACCTCTACACCCTCACCCGATATAACATGCCCAACTAACCAAGCTTATCTCGGCCGAATTCACACTTTTTTCTTATTAGCGTAAAGCTGTTGTAGGGACAAAATGTCAAGAACAGTCTTAATGTACTAAATGTTCCTCCCAAGACTTACTGTATACTAATATGTCATCAAAAATAACAATACAAACTTTCGTAAATAACGACCAAAAATTTCATTTATTAAACCTTGGAATGTCGCCGGCGCATTGACCAATCCAAAGGGCATTACGAGAAACTCGTAATGTCCATGACGAGTACGAAAAGCCATTTTCTGCACATCTTTCTCGTTCATTCTAATCTGATGATAACCAGACTTCATATCCAATTTCGAGAACACTCGAGCATCATGTAATTCATCCAGCGGCTCGTCGATGACTGGAATAGAAAGCTTATCCACCACAAATGACTAATTTAGGGCTCTATAATCAATACAAAACCTCCGGATCCCATCTTTCTTCTTTACTAGTAATACAGGACTTGAGAATGGACTTGCACTCGGCCGAATCACTCGTGTCTCCAGAATTTCTTTAACTAGCTTTTCAATCTCATCTTTTTGGTAATGAGGGTACCTATACGATCTCACATTCACTGGTTCGGTTCCATCTTTCAACACAATGCTATGCTCTTTTCCTCTAACCAAAGGCAATCCATGTGGCATATTGAAAACTTGTTCAAACTCTTGTAATAAAGATTCCAGCCCCAAATTCATTTCTACCCGCTCTTCATTCTCTGTTTCACACGAGCTCAATTCAACTAAAATTCCATGACCCTCCTGTTGGATTTCCCTTCCCATGGTTTTCAGCGACACTTTAGTTCTTCCGAGAGATGGCTTTAATCGCGACAGATTTCTCCCCAACCGTGATATTTCATTACTTGTTTCCAATTAATGTAAGTGGCTCCTAGCTTCCAACCACGGTATACCTAAAATCACATCATTGTTGCCCAATTGTATAAGCAAAAAATCCTCCACGATATCTAAATTTTGGATTGACAGCGTTATACAACAACAGATGCCCTCTCCTTTCACCGTATTGCCCGTACCCATAGTAATCGTATACTCTTTCGTTTTCTTCACTTCTAAATTCAACTTATTAACCACCTCTTTCGAAATAAAGTTGAGTCGCACCGCTGTCTTCGAGTACTACAGCCTTCTGATCTCCAATAATTCCTTCCATTTTCATCGTCTTGGGGTTGGTAATACCAACGATTGAATTCAAATGAACCTCGACTTTTTGTCCTACATCGACCACATTAGCCAAGCTCAATAGTTTCTCCTCTTCCGATTCAGCCTCTTCCACAACTTCCTCCAGGACCAAAATCACATTCAACTCTCTTTTTTTACATTTGTGCCCTGGTGAATACTTTTCGTCACATCGATAGCATAAACGAGAGTTCGTCTCTGTTGAACCTCCTGATCTAATAACCTCCTAAACTTCGATCTAGAACTTACTTTCGAGACCGGGGACGAGACAGAATTCGATCCGCTGCTCTTAGCTTCGAATACATAACTCAAATTCTTCCTTCCTATATACATTGATCTCTATGCCGATCATTTTATTTTTTACTTCAATTTTGGAAGCGGTCTCCATTGCCTCACCTAAGGAAATTGGACTCAACATACGCAGTTCGGTTTTAATCGAATTTTCCAATCCATTAATGAATTGGCTGAGAAATACCTCTTCAGGTATTCCATACAGAGGACCACAAACTTTCTCCTATAATCATCGATCGATCCTCCCTGTTTCACCGCCAAAAGCTGTTCACATAACAATCCTAAAGCTAGCGATCTGAATTAACAAAGAATTAATCGTTTCAAATCTTCCCAACGCGTAATAGGATGACATTTGTTCTCCCATTGAAACCATTTCAGTGCATCACCTTCAAACGCTATAAATGAAACGTCAATTTTGTTCCTCAGGACTTAATCAATTTAACGTGAAATACATTTCGGCTCTCAGGATCCATCCATCCGGATCTGTACCATCGAATGTGGGAATTTCTAATCTCCTTCCTTTTACTGCCAACAAACGATTAGGATCGTGTTTATCACCATTTTTATCACTTCCTTCAAAACCGACCGTGTTATCTCCATCAGATAACGCAGACAAATTTACTAACCAATTTTTCCTATAGTTTCTCGATCCTCTCGATCTGCTCCAGAATCGTTTGCATTCCTTTTTCTATTGATCCCACACTACTCTTTAAATCGTCAACTCTTGTTGCTACACTCTCGTCGCCATCCTTGGATTGTGACTGCTCTGATACCAATTTGCTATAAACTGATGCCAAAAGCTTGTAATAGAATTGATACGAAAAGGAATTCACTCCAATGGCATTCGAGAGGCCATGGTCTCTCCAGAGCAAAGCTCGTAATACAACTGAATTGAAAAACATAATACCCCAAAATAGGAACCTCCCTACCAACAAAAAGGCTCCCACACCCTAAACAAAAGGAAACCCCGAAAATACCCCTAATGCCTTATTCAGAACAGAAAATAAGAAACCACACTAATTTCCCCTCTTCCTATATATGAACCGAACCAGAGGTACACCAGTTTTCCATTAAATCATGTATGGATAAAGTTGCCTATATAGATTGGGAAGGTTTTTATTTGGGAGAACTTATAAATTGGGAAGGTTTTTATTTGAGAGAACTTTTTCATAGATGGAAGGAGCGTGTTTTTTAATTGGAGGGGACAGGTTTGGGAAAAACTTGGCTTTTTGCATAAAGTTCTCCCTTAGAAGCTTACTTAATAAGCCACTTTCTATATCATTAAGCCACAAACAAACAGTCATGTATAGTTGATCAAATAAGTTGTGAATCCTATTAATCTCATTAAGCTGCTAACAAACATCCCCTTACACATTGACCAACAATCTTAAGTGCTTCTGAGCAGAAGCAAAGACCAAAACACCAAAGACTGAAACAACAAATTTCGTGAATTACTAAGGTCAATCCGCTTATATAGTATAAATACTCTTAACTTTCATATGGTTGCATTAATAAACTTGATTTTGTAGACCCAAAAGAACAAACGTTATACATATACACATAAATTAGACCCTTTAAGAGCCTGCTTGAAAGGTCCAAGCACTAGAAGGTCCCTCGACCATAGAGCCCCACTTGATGCTTTTTGGAACAACAATTGTGTGTTATGCATGTACATAAAGTTCCATATATCGATATAAAAATATATATCTCGTATGATAATTTTAAGTATTCCAAGCTACAATAATTTGAACCAATCTTATGACATTCACCCTCACCTTTATGAATCACAAATAGTTTCTTTTGTACCCTTTATGGGTGAGTTCACAAATTGATTCATCAAAATAAATGAATCTGGGTGAATCTTGTGAAATAGAGTAGACCAACATACACATAGTTCCAAAAAAATTCAAGCATCAAGAAAAATTTAGAAAATGTGGATAATGTACCTAATGTATCTTTTAAGCTTACCGAATGCATCTTCTTCTTTGGATTAGGCTTTTTGCAAATGATTTGTGTATAGTGGATGAAGAGAAGTAGAAAATGTGTGATGGAATAGAGAAAAAGTGTGAAAGAATGTATAGAGAATGTGATGCTTCAAAATGCTTTGTTTTTTATTGACATCAGTTATAATAATTGTACCTATTTCACTAGTGGTCCTTGGTAATACCTGCTCAGTGTAAATATAGTTATACATACACACACACACATTGAAGCATCTCACCAACCAAGTACGGCGCACCAAAATTACGTGTCTAATGGGACTACCCCTTTACAAACCACATACAGCTACAATGCATACCACACACACTCATACCACAAGCTTCTCACCGACCAAGTACAACGCACCAAAATTACTCTCAGCTTTTTCTAAACCTGCCCTTCCCAATTAAACATGCTCATTTCATCTATGAAAAAACCCTCTCAAACAAAAACCTTCATAATCTATTCAGACAGATTAATTCACACAAACAGCTTTATCCATACACACTTAATGGAAAACCAACTAAACAACCCCTCAGTTGTTTTATAGTACAGACATTAAAGCCTTACTTACAAATTTCCTTTCTTGCTTGGCCGTCTAGATTTCGTGGTATATTTGATTGTAACGAAAAGTTACTGATAAGCTAACATCATTTCAATAAATAAGTGTTTTACGATTCAGTATCACATTTAATAATGTAGTTCTTTCAAGTGTCTTTATTTGGTATCACTTAATTCAGCACCCCGTGAGGTAATAACGATAGATTTTTGTAGATCATAAACAAATATACCTGTAAAGCAATTTTTAGGCACGCATCTCTAGTGGGTGGTCTAAGAAGAATTAAGCTCCAAACAATGCTAAGACCTTGATGCACTCTATCTCCACTGTGTAATTCCTCATCTTTATCACTGTTTCCAGGAACACACAAGCACTCTAATAATTTAAGAACCGACTTTGGCAGGTAAGGAACTTCACTTAGCAATCTACTCAAAGATTTGTCAGTGGCAGGAAAAGAATCTCGGAGTGTTTCTGCCTGCAATAAGAATGTACTTTATCCTTTGTCGGCTAGAGGATAACCACGGAGAAATAGAGAACATTTACGAACCACTTTCAGAAGAAACATTTCATATACAGAAGTCGCTGTTCTCGAAGAAAAGAAGTCATGGTCTGCTTCTGCCTCTCCAAATAGTCTATATAGGACACGCAAGGTTAACTCATGGCCCTGAAAGAATATAAAAAAATTGAATTCATAAATATCAAAAAAAAATTGACAAGAGACGCAGGTGAGAGTTCCAGAATTCACTGAAGAATAAGCATAAAAACAAAAACAGAAGTGCCCAAGAAAAAGGTGATACGATGAAGATAACAAAAATATACCAGGTTGATATCTTTAGGAAAATAAAAAAATGGAAATGAAGTTTGATCAAATTGATTAAAGCTTAGAATAAAATAAAAATGGACATGAACGTAGAGAAATTACCTCATGACTTGTATAATCTGACAGTATATGTGTTTGTAGAAGTCTCCAAGGGTCCAACTCCAAAGGAAACTGTTCACATGCAAGTAATCAAGATCGTAACCAACAAAACTAACAAAATTATTAAAGGTTAGAACTTGAAACCATAAAGTTGGTACTTTTTGTTAGTGGACACCCGTTTAAGATTGAAAACCAAGAACAATATTCTGGTAACAGGGAATGAAGCAGTACATTTGGAATAGCAAGCACCAAATAACGACAATTATCTTAGCTCAAACAATTTCTGGATGGCTAGGTTTATTACCTCAACTCCTAAATAGGAAAGTAAAGAAAAGCGAAGTTGTGAACCTCCAGCAACTGCTATATGCTTATAAGCTTCAATGATGCGGATAAAAGCCAATTTCTGGATCTGATCCTTCTGCTCATCGGTGAGGCTAATTACAGGTGCAGACATCTTAGGGAGTACCACTTTAGATGTTAACTGAACAGAAGTTGCTGTTGAGGAGTTGATGCTGTTTGCTTCTGCCATAGCTTCTTTTGGACTAAGTTCCTCAGACCTATCTGTAGACATTGATGGAACTATATCCACTGATGACCTTCCCATGTTGGTAATTTGCTCTTGACTGTTTTCTTCCGGGTCGGCAGAAATCAATGAGGAATCAACTTGCATTTCAGGTATTTCATCATTCCGGGCTGACGAATCTAGACCAGGTATACCACTCTCAAGTTCCCCCATATCAGTATCTTCAGACGGAATAGCAGAACTAACACTCCTTAGAGATGGTAACTCAACAGAAAAGGGTGGGCCTGAATATTCCAAGTCTTGCTCGGTGGCAGAATCTACAGCAGAATGTGCTACATCACTATCTCTTGTTGCAGGGCCTTCACCCTCCACTTCAGGCTTCTGCAGCTTTTAGTAGAATGGCAGACAGTACAAGAGAAAACTAATCAAATTACCTTCCAATATAATCAGAGGAAAAGCAGACGCAATATGAGAATGCAAATGCTAGACCAACATATGCCAACCTCAGAGATCATGATCAAAATAACAAGTGTACCTCATCACTGTGTGTGTCCGATGCAGAATGTGCAAGTTGAGAATTGGAGCGTGATAATACGTCTGTTAGATATGCAGACAGATTACTAACTTGTGTATCGGATCCATCGTTCAACAGCTCTTCCTCGCCCTCTTCTTTTGGGCGAACTGGAGGAAGATTTGGCATATTGGCAACTACTACTTCAGCTAGCAAATCAGCAGATATACTACTAATAAGAATTTCTAACATTGCAGCAGACTGTTCACCCTGCGCAACCAATGAACTAAACATAGCAACAAGCTGCTGCACCGGTCCATTGGCTACATTTCGTTTCGCTGAAGCTAGTCCACCTGAAGAATTCACATCATCACCACCCTTCAAGTCTTGTGGCAATTCCCCAGTTGTATTAGGTGTCGGTTTGGCACGCTTTCCAGGTACATCATCATCTTTTTTCAGATCACTAGCATCATGTACTTCAGGCCTTTTCCTAACAGCAGTGGCATGCACAGCATCAGATGCTTCTATTGAAGGTTTTATCTCCTGTGAGAAATTGAGCATTTAGCACCATTCTACAAGAATACCTTTGACTGTACAGATGTGTACTCATGTATAATTAATGAAAAGCTTGACGCCCATAACCTCAGGTACCTGCGCAATTGACGAATTACCGCCAGAAACTTGATGAAGGGCTTCTTCAGCCAACCCTCCAGCTTTCATTTCTCTAAGTGTTCCAACTAGACGATCCCGCCACTATGCAAAAACAGAACATGGTTCAGGGACAGTATGAAGCAAAACACACTCAAGACTAACAATACTGCATTCTCTTGTTTATCTGGAATGTCAGTCAATTGAATCAAGTTCATATGCAAAAGAACAACAAAGAAAGGATAAACATATATAAGAAAGAAGTCTGACCTTTGTGTAGTTGTGTAATAAAGGAAATAGCTAAAAAATGATCTTAACCGATAAGTTCACACATGAAAACCAAGCAAAAGGTGGGAAAATATAAACAAAACAAAAAACTACAAAAGAGACAATTCACAGCTCAGTCTCAAACCACAACTTCTTCCCGAGAATCTAAATAACCCAACCATAATAAAATTATAATGTAAGAGAATATGTGTCAAGGAAAAGTGCATTGTTGAAAAATACATTATTAAGACAGAATTTTCTTGATCGATAAGATCAATGAACCAAACAAGAGGTGGAAAAATATGAATAAAAAAAAATGAAAAACTACAAAGAGACAATTCATGGCTCAGTCTCAACCACAACTTCTTGAGTTCTTCCTGAGAATCAGCATAACCCAACCACAATAAGAGTCTAATGCAGAACAAGACATCTCAAGCAGCAGTCTATATCATGCAGTGCATGAAAACAGGCTAAAAGGCACACAGAGGTATCAAATTGTTTTTTGGTATTTGTGTCTTGGGTAACATCAACTGGAGACAACTGAATCTCAAAGAAGTGAAATGCTAATGGAAAAGATTTAGAGAGGTCAAGAAGGATTGCATTAGGATACCATTTGACTTAAAGGTTTATAATAGTCTACCAAAAAGATTAAAAGTAATACTAGATCTATTGAAAAGTGAGGGAAAGGGTAGCTAAATCAAGATAATTCACATTATCAAGGACAACATGATTCAGCTACAGAAAAATAATATATTGTGATCATATGAAAAGCCTACATGAACATCCATTTACAGCATTAAGTGGATAATACTAAATGTGTTGATCTAAACTAAAGCAAACCTATAATCCCCTAAATTGGAGTATTTCAGAAGAAATTCACACAGGATCAAAATAATCGTCTAAAAAACATGAGTAACAATCGAGGTTGAAGAGAAAACTTTTGGCTAGACTAGAATACTCGGACAGAATACGTTAACTAAATGTTCAATTCACAGATGAACAGAAAACATTGTAGCAACATGGGCGGTAATGCAAATATGCACCCAAACAAGAAAAATAACCTAAGAACACATTATGCTATATAAAGTTCAACCACAAATATATCCTCTCAAAGCAGAAAAGCTTCAGACCATATTAAGGGAATTTCCTAAGTATATAGACAGATGGCAACCAAATGAAGAAAAAAAAGAAAGAACGCGGAACAGTTACCGGTGCAGCACCCGGGTGTGTGCATTTCAAGCAGGAAAGGAAAGCGCTCTTTAAAGCATGATGTACCCCAGAAACATGACCCACTTTGACAGCAGAGTTTGATGGATCCAGACCAAGCAAAACTGGAAGAATACGGCCATAAAATGAAGGCCGTTTCTTTGCAATTGCTGAAAGACTGTAATACATGATAAAGCAATTAGTGAAGGTGTCCAAAATTAAGGGACTTAAAGAAACATTAGCAATGATAAAGAGTAGGAGTCTAAAGAATAATATTAGAATAAGGCATTTGGAACAAAGACATGTCTTGTTCATTTCTGGATTGTTCCACTTCTGCATCTGGAAAGTGCTCAGCATTCCACTCTCCAAAACCCCTTTTCTCAATAAAGAGGGAAGGTTAATAGTGGTGTATTAATATACTGAAAAATTGTAGAAAAGGTTAAAAATATTATAAATAAGCAGCACATTTTTTTCTGGATGAGGTAACCCATAATACCATAAACCCCTCCCTCTCTTTTTCATGGACTGAACACACCAGTGCGCACACACACAACTATCTCTTACAAAGATTGCACAATCTCGAGGTTACTTTGGAGGGATGGTAATGATCCTTCCTTCCCACCCAAAAACAAATTTTAATTGCATATTAGGCTTTAACACAAATAAGCAACAATAAAGCAGTTAATTCCACAACCCCCCCCCCCCCCGGGATAGTCCGGCAGCAGATTCTAAATAGCAGTTCTTAATCACAGACTAGCTTGGGCGAGCTTGCACATACCAAAAGCAACACGAGCTAATTGGGACTGGAGTAGGATGGTCATTTCTCCAACAAATGAAGGGTAGTAAACACCAATTATACTTGGATGTGTTACAATCAAGCTACGGATAAGAGAAAGAGACCTCACTTGAAAGGCAACGTGAGAATTGAACTACAGTCTCTAGGGGGGGTGCTAAGCAAGGGAAGACCCAAGGCTTAGCTCATGCAGGAAAGGTTGTATGACAACTCTACTTTGTTTCATCAATAATGAAACCAAGAAAAGCTAAAAGGACTTTCTATGAGGACAAACCATCCTGAGGGCATGGTTCGCAAGATGAACCAAAGCAACAGATGTTAGGGGTGTTACAAAATAACGCAGTCCATACTTTATTCATCAATCATTATAATAAATTGTCGTCTCCTTTCTAGAATGTACATGTAGACCGTATCGTAGTGTATCACAAGAAATGATATTGCTGAAATAACTAGTATAGAAAGCATTGACCAGAAGTTAAAGACCAAACATTTTAGTAAGTTCATATTGTTTTGGGTGTTGCTCATCCCTATCACTGTATCCTCCTTTTCGCATTGAGAATACAGCATCAAATTTTGATCCAGACATACAAGTTGGGTGGTAAACCTGTTTTAATACAATGCAAATATTAAGATTAGGAGGGTGTACCAGTTGATTAAAAAACTATCAGACTTGTATGTAAGTTGGTCAACTTGGCCTGTTCAGCATTGACATTAGCTATGTACTTCGAATTGTTAAGCAATAAATTCATGTTGACATTCATCCTACGTAGATGTAGCCAAGATCCTCGAGATGTTTGAAGAATGCTACCACAGTCCACATATAGTACTTTGCTATCATCCCACGATCATCTATCGATTTCTTCTTGAATAAGTCGGTTCCGACCTCCACTTAGTTTCACTGGAGGGTTTCGCTTTATATAGAAGCCCACTCAGCATTGATTATGATATAAAGAGTTGTCATGATGACGGCACTCTATCTCAAGATGCTCCTTTCTCAGGACAAATTTGGCCTTACCACATAACAAGAAGCAGCAAGTTGTTGCCGATTCCATTGCTGAGACAGTTCTATAGGACTCATCATTTTGTAACTTTGAATGAGGCTTCTAATGAAGGATATAGGGTCGTGTGTCAAATACCAGTTATGTTCTGCACAATCAGTAAATTTACTATTGGCATTCCCTATGATCCAATCCAAAATGATCAGGAAAAGCATACAATTGACATGGATAGGCATTTTCTAAAAGAAAAGTCAGTGGCTGGGCATATATCCAAAATTCACTAAAGAAAGCACTAGAAGAATTCTTACCAGTACTGTCCCCAAGGACATATATCCCGTACTTCTTTTCAATATTTTGCACAAGTGATATCTACGCACCAGATTGCCAGGAGTGTTGTATAGCCTTAGACTCTTATCTAAGTTCTCACATTTCTCATCCTAAAATCATTATCTATCAACATTATTAATTTATCCGAAATGATCTGGTAATGGGGTGCCTTCTTCAGTACCACACACAGAATCAAAAGTAAGCATTTTGTATACCAGTTATAGATACATGTCCAACAACAAGACTAGACATAGCATAGTCTATCCCACCCTCGCACACATATAATATCTTCAAAAATTGATGGAATGGTAGATAAAGACTACTGGCACAGAAAGATATGAAGGGTTACATTACATTTCTGTTTACCTGCCCGTAATGTCTACATTAGGCCAACAGACTAAATCAAGCAGCATCGAAATTTCGATGGAAACTTAAAAAAAATAGCAAGCTACTGGTGTAAATATAATGATAGGCACAGAAAATGGATAAGAATTTGGCTAGAAATTTTCCAACTCCCTGCACAGTAGTTGTACTTGCTTCACTCCCACTTTTATTATCCAAAATTATTACGCTTTTTAAATTCCATGTTCATCATAATCAACTAGTTCACAACTAATAGATCACCATCCAAAACCACATGATATTGAAGCCAAAAAAATAATCTTACTCCAACCTTTTCCCTCCATTTCCCAATTCCCTACAACCTACAACAATTTCAGAAAAAAGAAGTTTCTTAATATTAGAAAGTTGATATTGCAAATATTCCAGGATGGAAAGAGCATTCCAAAATATTAGCAACAAACAAAGAATTCAAGTGCTCCCAGACTCAAACTGGAAAAGGAGAACTCATACTAAATTCTTCTATGAAGAGTTAAAAATTACAATTGTTAGGTGACCCTGTGGAATCAAAGGAACCAAATACTAGAGCCGCACTTGCCATGAGTACCTGCTGACTGCTGCTCAACCCTAAAGGATTTTGGACATCCTAGTTATATGTATCTTCATAGAGAAAGCACCATAGCATATGCATGTATGATGAAGATCAAATACCTCTTGATTAGCACAATGACCACCATATTGCTGAGTGATTTCACAGCTGGATATCTTAGCTGATCAAGTAACAAACCCAGGTTCTGACTAGCTTCAATTGATAAATTGCCAACATTAAGTATGGGATGGCCTCCACGAAGCCATGCTATGTTAAACTCATCTGGCATTTCTAAAACACAAGTGATCATACAGAAAACATCAATAACCATGAAAAAGACACAATACGACAAAGAACTTATAGATTGAGACATATAAAAGAGTTACCTCCAGAAGTTAGATCTTCAGGTGGTTCAGAAGAGGCACTAGGATCAGCAGTATATAAAAGAGTTACTGCTTCAACAAACTTCAGTGCAAGTAACTTTCTCCCATCGCTTTTCGGCTTGCAATACATTTTGTTACAGAGAATTAGACTGCATACATAATGCAAAAAGGTTGTGCCAAATCTTTGAGAATGGTGCTTACTTGATATGCCATAGAATATATTTCATCTTTAAACTTCAACACCCATACCCATGATGACTCAAGAGAATCATCCAACTGGCTGGAATACAAACCCTGAGAGCTACAGCTATCAGTATCTATAATGCTATATATTTTGACAGCATACTCAACATGATGGTCATTGTGGAGAAAAATCAAAGATCACATGAAATTTAATTTGGTCTTATCAACAGCATATTACATAAAACAACCACAAAAAAACACGACTGAAAATCTAAGATAGCATCCAGTGACCGATAGTATCAACTTTTAACGCACATGACACATCAATGAAAAGCAAATGGATGCATGCATGTTTAGCAAAGTACACTGAAACTCCAATAGACTGCAGATGCTAGAAATGGGAACTCATTGACACTATCAATAGCTATAGCATCTTCATTAACTTTACATGTTTCTGAAAAGTAAGAACTTGATCCACATCAAACACTAACATATGACTTTACCTGAAGTGCAATTTTCGTAAGAACACGGCGGAATAAACTGATTCCACAGGTGATTGCTTGTCTAGCAACTGCTGGTGTACTATCTCTTAAGAGATTTACCAATAAAGGTACAACATCGGGTAATAAATCTGTATAATCCAACCCAATATCACCAGCAATCCTACAAATAGAATCAATCAATCAGCAAGTCCAATAATTTCTAGTTTATATAGAGGGATACTATAAATCACAAGGTTCTCATATCATAAAAAGCAACTCCACCTATGTATACTTACATAGCCTATTCCAAGCCAAGATACAAAAGAAAAGTATTGGCAAACCTCATGAACCAGTATTCTATCTGATTTTTTGTTGCTTGCATGAAAAACATTACAAGTAACTCAGAAAGGTACAGTACAAGCATCCAAATGCATCGGTAGTGTTACCATACATATATTCCAACTAACTTATGATGTTTGTCGATGTTGAGCATTCTTGCCTTTATATGTTATCCTTCATTCTGAGAAAGGAGGATGTAATATATCAAGGTTCAAGGAGCAAAGCAAGATTTCAAGCTTCTAGCTGCAAAGAGTTGGCAGCTTAGATCTTCATACATCTAATGCTAATTTGTCAAAGTTATCTAATAATCACTTTTAGGGTGATGTAAGACTTGATCAAACAAATAAATAGGACCCCTGGCTTTAAATGGTCCTCACAGTTACCAATCCTTGATGTGACTTTAATCAGTTTGAAGACCATACACTGGTTAAGATGACCTTAAACATGATTTGTAATCAACTTTTGTAACCATGCTTTTAGATTTTGCAGAAAAACCTTGCAGTGCAAAATCCCAAATGGCGTTAGACTTGGATTACTTGAACAGGTTCAACCATTGTACTTTGTGTTAGCTTCAACAAACCAATTGTAAGCTGTAGACATTGAGGCAAAAATGTTCATGTACTCCAAGTGTACTGTTTGGGCCTTTGGGGGTGTATGCAACTACAAAGGTTTCTTAAAGATAAAATAAAGTATAATGCTTACAAACATTTTTCTGTATAAACTTAACGCTAACAGTTAGCAAACTCTATTAAATACCATAAAGCAATCCAATGTAGACCCAGTAATTTTTTCTCAGCAAAATTCATCCAAGACAACCATAAGACATAAAATCTTGGAAAACAAAAAATATAAGTTCCAATATCTAGAGAAATTAAAAAGAGGAGACATATTTTCTTAACAGCTTCCTCCACGAACAGCATATCACATAACTCTTCCTCTACCAAGGCAAATGTCAAAAAATAAAATTCAAAGTTGAATATCGTTTCAATGTTTCAACCAGGTTTATTCAAGAAAAGTCAAGAGAAAAGATTTCTATCAATGGGCAAGGCACAAATGGGGAGGCTTGAGAATTTTGCATATAAGGTTATTCAAAATTTACAAAAAGTCGCCAACTTTAAAGACAAAATTACAGATAACAAATTGTCAATCAGGGTTTATGATGCGCACTCTGCAATGAATCTGCGAACGGGACTGCAACGGTCGGTGTGAAGATCAAGAAGTTGAGGAAGGAACTCTGTGACCAAGTGAAGGTCTTTTGCGCGAGAAAATTCCTCTTTTAATTTACGTAATTTCTCGAGCTTCGAAGGAACATCCGTGGAGAACTTGGCCGAGTCAATGAGGCCGGCAAACTTCTCCCTCGAAATCGCTGCCATCATTCCCACCATGATTTATCAACAAAACCCAAAACCCCTAATTCATGAACCCTAATGCCAACAATTTTGTCACTGAATTTGATTGAGATTGTATGTTTTGCGGGAAGGTTCACGTTGTTTGCGAGAACTTTGAATCTTCGTTCTACTGCGGTACTGCCTAGTGTCGACGCATGTAGGTCTCCTTGGCGCACAGAAACTTTACAATCTGGACCTTCAGCTTTTGAATGTGTCATTTACAGTCCTTTATCTCTTTTATCATGGAGCTAGACGGAGTGTCTAGTGGTGGAAATTTTATAATATCATATATATATATATACACTGTATTATGAAGCATTTCATAAAAACTATCAAAATTTATTTTCTTTATGTATGAAATATTGTGTTTTAATGCATATTACTTAATATATAAAATTATAAATAAATTGTGCGTAAATACAACAAGCTTTATTTTTGAATTCGTATAACTAACTGCAGATAAATATAATCAAATACAAGATAAACATCTCATTTTTAAACATAATTAAAATAATCATTAAGTTCTAACAGGATCATTATCTTTATAAAAATTATGTTGTTAAAAATAAATTAATTCGCTATTACACCTAAATTAAATTATAATAAAAAATTAAAATAAATAAATTGTAAAAAAAAATTTAATAATTAATTTGATATTAATATCGATATATTTTTAAAAAAATTATGATATCTTCAAATTTGTTTTTATTCAAAGTAAAAAACATTATCTTTCTCAAAAGTCAAAACCACATAAACCGTATTATATCAATAGAGACAAAAAAATAAAACGAAACATTAAAATGACGATGTATTTCGCTGCATTGTGTGAGTACCCTTCTAGTATAATTATATGGATACACATGTATTTTATGCTATTAGTCAATGAGTTAATACTATTAATCAAGTATATACTTAAGATTTGAAAAAAAAAAATCGCCACAAAAAACGTCCATTGGACCATGTATTACCACTAGCCTTAACATGGCCTATGGACAAGGGGACAGGATTCACTGTCAAACACAAGTCTTGAGTCACGACGACTGTCGTGGCAAGCCTTTTAAAATAGTGTTTTCATATGAGTGGATTTTTGTTTTGAAGAAAACAAGGTGTTATGCAATATATGGCCAATGAAATTGATAAAAATAACACGAAGTTAAATCCTTCATGGCAGCCAGGGAAAAGGTAAGGAATTTTGGGATGGTAATTTTTATCTTATAAGAATAAAATATTTTATAATAAATAATAAAATAACATTGTATCAAACTCTCTGTCTTTTTCATGTCCCACCAACCATATGAAGTTGTAACATTAGTTTACTTAAGATTTTTACTCGATATTTTAGGTTTGTTCATCGTCATAACTTTGGTAGGTCACCTAGTAATCCTCAAATATGATATTCAAACTGAAGGCCTTCACATTACTCCCGTATAGTCTTTAGCACAATTAGACTCGTGCAACCGGTATCGAATGTTTGAATATGTCAATCACAGTCATGAAGCTTCTTAACTTCGCTTTGGTATCAACTTGAATGATGAACTACTTGTACTCATGGTTAGTTAGGTTGTTAACACTTTCAATCATCACATAAATAACTGTGTTTTATAGTGAATCGGTTAAATGAAGGGTTTCTAAATTTGAGATGGATATGTGTGATTATGAAGGATTATATGACCAAGTTCAGTAATATGCAGGATTTGCCAATTATTTGATGGTTAGATAAAATAGAAGAATGAAAGAGATATGGATTGAACTTCTTGTTGGCGATAGCAACAAGCCGACAAGAAGTTCTTGTATCTATACTGCTAGCAAAAGTAAGAAGGCATATGTTCATAATGAGGCCCTATAAATGTATCAACGGGTAATTAGGCCACAGCAAGGAATGCAGAAGAGTTTGGAAATGAATATATATATGTGTGTGTGTGTGTATACACATATGAGAAGATGAAGGTAAAGCAGGTATAAGGCTTGAAACATGTTTTACTAGTGTTATAACTGTGATAAACAACTATGAGGTTAGAGGCAATATTGGTTCAAGACTTGTAACACGTTTTACAAGTGTTGATACAAAGGGAGATGTTACGATACATTACAAGATAATTTGTACAAAACTGTAAAGTCTTGTGGGATGTGTGACTTTGTCATGTCATGTAGCATATCAGCGCTTCTACTTAAGTGAAAGACCAAGTGAGTTACTGTGCAACTTGGAACTTTCTCATGAGGTCGCATAAGGGATATGTTAGCGGTGAATAAACAATTGGTAATCCTTTGATATTTTTGTCTTTCAAAAATTTGTAAGCACCAGTTAAGTTCTTTTGTGTATGGTAAGAGAACTTGTCTCTCTCCACTTGATTTAATGAAATATATTACCTCCTCTCTCGTGGACGTATAGTATCATACCGATAATGGAACCACGTTAAATCTGTCATATATGATTTTGTTACCAATGTTTCATTTGGTTTATATGTTTTTGAAAAAAACATTGCTTGATGATGTAAGGGTTGTTTTGATTTTTGACAAATTATTAATCGCATTATGATCCTATTTTATTTTCGTGTTGTTTGTTTGGTATTGAGATATCGTATTTGATTTGTGACATAGAGTTGTTTGGATTATTAACAAGTTATATCAAAGTATTACGTTATTTGATGTGATGTGTATATGTTATCGAGCATCGATAGTTGTATACCTTCGCCAGCATATGTTATAATCAGGTTAAAACATTTTTTGTACTTGTGTATCTTTGCCAGCTTATGTTAAGGGTTCCTTTGTCGCTTATGAGTCTTGTCTATATATAGAGATGTGGGATGGTAAAAGGTGATTTTAGTAAATGGTAGTGGAAAATGATAGCAATATAAAGACAAAACCATGTTCACCAGATAGCGTTTGAGCTGAATCACCTAATAATTAAGATGAAAAGTCAGGGAATTGAAGTTTGTTATCCCTAGAGTAACTTTTATCCGTTGAACGACGGCTCTTTCACTCGACACCTCACACTCCTTACTAGTTAATAATCTTAGTGATTGTATTCGTATGCTTATTCTGATAGGAAAAAGTGGGTAATATCATATAGCTTTGTATTGACTTCCAAAAGGAAAAACCTCCTAACTGTCTCTGCACCCCTACCTCATTCATCACTGAGCGGTCATTTAGGGAGATTGAGGAAGAACATATGGCAATGAACCTATTACGTTCGCTTTCAAAAAAAAAATCGGGTTTGCAAATGCCTTAACTAAGACACCCTAAAATGGCACCCAATATTTTATGGAGCTTATCAATGTGGAAGCGAGAACATTATACAATCATCGAAGCACACAATATATGTTTGGTAGAGAATTCATTAAAGTTCTAATTTTTACTTTACACACCAACATATCATAATATCTCTAAGATTCTTATTAACACAAAACCATCTTCTTATACCAAGGCTTGTGATACTAAGAGGCTGTTTGGAAGTTGCTGAATGGTTTGATGCAGAATGATTAAGTGGTCATAATGATTAAGAAGCTCTCATGATATAATGCAAAATGAAATATAATTACTTGGTAATTGTTTACGATGAAATTAGGGCGCTTAATGGTTAAGGGAGACCCAAGATACAAAATCATTCAGAGGGTTTTAGAACCATTAAGAGGCAGCCTTTTTTTTGCTAAATAAGATTCACCTATTAACGATTTAGGGTGCCTCTTAATGGAACTATTAAGAGGTAAACAAACAACCCCTAAAACTACGACCCTTGGTTTTGTATTATGGTTTTTATTTCTCACAGCACATCGTAATTGACAGACTCCTAGATCTGCCCTTATTAACTCTCCCACGATGCATGTACATTTTTGAAGTCGAAAATGCACGTGAAATACATAGGTTAACATATAGAAGATTATTGCCATGCATTTTCATATCAGAACATATCATTTGTGCATTATGTATTGCATGCAATGTCCGATAAAAATTTATAAGAAATGTGTGCCGCTATGAACAGACATCTTTTTACTGGTGTTTTTAGACGTCTTCAGCACCCATTCATGGTTCCACAAAAAAGACTACCTTCTTGTTTGATGAAATCAACATCCTGATCATCCTTTCTTAGTTCCATAATGGATACTGCCATCTTCTTTTATGATATGTAAACATGTGACAAAGAAAAAACAAAGTTATTCAACGGAACAAAACTCCTTCGAAGTTTTCATATATGCATGCATCATAAATAATTACTTCATGCAAAGATATCAAAATACACATACCATGCAACCCGTAAAACATATAAAAACATATGTATTCACCTTTTACCTTAGTATTTGGATGACCTCTTTTAGATTACGTGCTACCCTAGACACGATCTTCTAGCTACAAGGATGCCGAATATGGCCTTGGATTTCACTTTCACTTGCAAAAACCGGAGCTTATTTAGCCTTGAAACTCACCACTTTACTTCACATTCACTGCTCGTGAAATGGGTCGAAATGAGAAAGTTGAATGTGAGGATTTCCTTTTAAAGGGAGGATAATCAATCATTTGGCTTCCCCATGTGGCATCTCTCTGTTCCTAGATAATATTCCAAAATCCATTTATGGTAATTTGTGTGTAATTTAATATATGTGTGTGTGTGTAATTTATCATTCTAGTAAAAAAAAATCAGTTGGCATAAAAACTTGGTTGTTATATTAATTTATGGTAAGGACATCATCACCATAACAGACGTCAAGACGAGATGTATTTAGCAGTGGAGACTAGGTCCACGTCAAAAAAAGAACCAATTATACGTTATTCATAGGCCCAAGCTAATCAACAGTGACAACTTCAATAGCTTGGATTTCGTGTTAGTCAAATAAACATGATCACATGCATAACATTTGGTGTCGATATTACACGATTGAGATGTGTATGTACACACATTGGACACCAACAAGCGGTTTGTTTGAAGGAGGTAAATACTTTATTTTTGTTTATTGATTAGTTCTCATCCAAAGTTTGGGTCGATTTGATTAAACAAAATCGAAGACATTTGAGAAATTTAAATCTTGGTTAGCACTTTGCAATTAAGGGAAATCATATTAGGAGAAGGTTGAAGGTGTTATATTTTGATGAGGATGGTGAGTACATGAGTTGTAACGGTTTATTACACCAGGTGACCCTTTGTCAGTTG